GGATCATAAACACCTGTCTTCTGAAAGACATGACGTGCTTCAGGTGCGGAGATTTGCAGCCGAGAGGGATCAATCTGATCGGCGACACTAACTGTCCGTGTCGGCTCAGCTCCTTCTCCAGAATCTCATTCCTCAGAAACGGAGGCACATTGGAAATTATAATTTTTTTAGCGGGGCTGACCAGAGACAACACCGGAGTCAGAGTTCCCTTTATCACCACTCCACTTTCCACCAGCCCGTTCACTTTGTTGATGCTGTCCAGAAAAATAACCACCGCACTGTTCATTCTGGAGGCAGATTTAATACTGCCGTACCCCACAACTGCCCCCACAGCCAGGCTGCACTCCTCCACCGACACACCGACAGCCGGAGAAAGCTTCACGGCGTGCTGGCGAGTCAGCTTCTCCAGCCCGGAGACGCCTCGCGCCGCCATGCTCGGCTGCGAGGCCACGGCAGCAGCCGCCGAACAAAAACACAAAAACTCCCACAAACACACAATCACACAACTTTGATCACAGACAAAACAAGCACAAAGTCATCAACAGTCACACAGTGGAAGAAAAATCCAAAAAAGTTTGAGAAAAACTTACAAACTTTCTCAAACGCTCTCTGCAACACCACGCTCCTCTCACACCGCCATTCACTCAGAGAGAGAGAGAGAGAGAGAGGGAGGGAGGGAGGGAGGGAGCGAGAGAGAGAGAGAAGAGAGAAGAAGAGAGAGAGGAGAGAGAGAGAGAGAAAGAGAGAGAGGGAGAGAGAGAGAAGAGAGAGAGAGAGAAGAGAGAGAGGGACGAGAGAGAGAGAGAAGAGAGAGAGAGAGACCATAAGAGAGGGGGAGAGGGGAGAGAGGGACAGAGAGAGAGAGAGACAGAGAGAGAGAAAGAGAGAGAGAAGAGAGACCTTCACCTTTGTCTCTAAACTCTCATCTTTTCTTCTTTATTCAGGTTGAGTCTGCAGTTTGTCAGAGATCAGCTGTTCTTCTCTGGCCTCAGCTCTGAAGTCCAACCCCTCCCACCTGAGAGAACTGGACCTGAGATACAACAACCTGCAGGATCCAGATGTGAAGCAGCTGTGTGATCTTAAGGAGAGTCCAGACTGTCGACTGGAGACTCTGAGGTCAGTAAAAGGGGCGGAGTCAGTCCTTGCTGCTTCCATCATATTGTACTAAACACAGTATCAGAGCAAAGAGCCAGTGTTTCCTGTAAACCTCCGACCTTCTCAGCAGCTGCTTCCCTCAGTGAAGCTGTGAGAGGAGAACGGTGACAGGCATCAGTATTGGACAGAAAGACAGAGAAAGAGAACAGTCGGCCAATCAGAGCTGCCAGAAGCTCGTCGTGGTCGTGCGTCTGAGTGGATGTGAAGACGACTGTTGTTGTTGAGTTGATGTCTACAGGAAGTGAAGCTGATTACAGCTGACAGCCTCACAGAGGAACAGAGTCACTGTCCTCATTCATCAAACTGTCACATCTGATCTGAGACAGTTTGTTCTCTCATTTCAAAACTCAACAACTGATCAGTTTGATCTCTGTCACAGCTCTGAGATCAGTCTGATGGAGAAGCATCTTTCAGAGAAGCGTCGTGACGTTTTGTGATCATGTGATCTTTATACAGACAGAAGCTCTGCTGAAGTCCAGTGAGCACATCTGTATATCTGTCCCTCTGCCAGATGTTTTCAGTGACAGCCTCCATGTTTATCTGTCAGGTGATATGTGAGGAACAGACCAGATGTTCATCAACACACAGAGACTCTGTGTTTAAATGTCAGGACAGTGAATGCATCACTGACCTGTTGGAGCAGTGATGAACCTTCATGACTCTCAGCAGTTTGTTTCCACTGTGGACTGAGGGAAATGTGCAGAGGGAACAGACTTGATGCTAAAAGTCTCTGCAGGTCTGTGAGCCTCCAGCTCAGTGTTCACTCCAACACGTTAACATGAGAGCTGAGAGGAAGCAGGCTACGCTACACAGCTGCTGCACATCTGGACTGAACAGGACTGAAGTCCCTGCTGCATCACTGACTGACAGCTGCTGAAGTGAGTCTCTGTAAACACTCGTTTATCTCCTCTGTTCTTCTTCTCTCCACAGTTGGAAGTGGTGATCGTTCTAAAGATCTGACGGAGGAATCAGAGGAAGTGGAGATGACTCTCAGTGCTGCAGTCTGAACTGATCTGAGAACAGCTCCACCATCATCCCTGTGACTCCTCCACCTTCCACCTGCACCAGAGTCTCAGTCTCAGGAGGTTTCGGTTCTGCTTCTTCCTCTGGATCACCTCCAGTCGAGGCTGGTTTGGGAAGACTTCTAAAAGTCTTCAACAGTTTTTGTATTTAATATTTCATTTTGTCTTGATGCTTTGAAACATGTGACCATCAGTCTGTGCTGAAACCTGCAGGTTATCAGTTAATGTTTGTGTTGTAGCTCCATCTTGTGGATCGATGCAGTATTGCAGCTGCCTTTCTTTAATCAGACAGACTGCATGTGAAGAGGAATCCAATTAGTTTTTCATATATGTACAGAACGCTGATATTATATCACAGTGAAAGTTCAGTGTAATAAATAAAGTCATTTTTTTAAATGTCCTCTCTGGATTTCCTTTGACTGAACTCAACATTCACATTTCAGCTGCTGGATTCTCCCAGGATTAAGATTCTCTCCGCTGCGTCTGCAGTCTCAGCTCAGCGCAGGAAATACATGAACTCGCTTGATGTGCTTATTGGACTGATGGTCTTCGATTATTGGAAGTTTGCAGTAATCCTGTATTAGAGGAAGCGACCGCTGAACGCTTCCAGGCCTCGGCCAGAAACTGTTTTTTGTAAAACTTCCATTCGTCAGCTTCATCAGACTCAGAAAAGTTCAAGTTCTAGTCAAGGCTGATGATGGATTACATGCGTTTTAAATAAAATAGACAGAGACTTTTACTCAGGTTTTACTCAAATGAAACCTCTGACCTCTCTGACTTCACAGGGGTCAAGGGTCAGCACCTTGAATCATTTACAAAAGCATCCTAACCAATAAGTGACAGGCAGCTGAGCAGTGAGCTTTACAGCCTCTTCATAAAGTAGAACCTTGATGCTCACAGGTTGGTCAGACCAATCAATAATTAGAGATAGACCGATCAATAATTGTCCTCATATAACTGTCCACAAGTTTACTTCCCATGCAGAAGCCCCACCCCCCAGCACAGGGTAATCCAAACTCTGGTTTAAACTGATTCAGAGTCAGTGTCAAAGTGAATGTATGATGTCGTGTAAATGAAGCAGGAGAACCGGCTGCGTTGGTCAACACACACACCGTCTCTCCTGGTGGCAGGAGGCAGCGTCGTTGTGTGTTTAGTTGCCTGCTAGGGTTACCATGGCAACAGTCAAACTTTTCCTCTGCAGAGCCAATTTTGATTTACTTCCTGATCCCTCTCTCTCTCTCTGTCTGTCATTGTCTCAGCGCCTCGCTCTTCCTCTGACTCGTCGGTTCATTTATTTATTGGTGGAGTTTTTCCTGAGCAGCAGGGACTCGTCCTCAGGCTCTGAGTGTTCGGCAGGAAGGACGACACACAGGTCAGTCACCACTCCTCTCCTCCTGCTGCCTCGCTCTGCAGCAGTTCACTCTGTGGCTCAGAGGCACTCAGGCAGTCATTTTATTAAGGACTGAAGTTATGGAGAATTGGGGCCCTTTATGGATTAGCTGGGGGTTAGGGGGCGGAGTCAGACACTGCCAAGATGGCGACGGTGGAGCAGCTCACTCTGAGCTTCAGAAACCTGAGGGTGTTATAAATAATTAGCATTGAAGCTTCGGTAAGGTAACATGCAGTTATCACGTGAACTCAATAATTACAAACATATAGAAATAAAATAGACTTGCAAACCTCATTGGCCACTTGAACTAAAGGGGGTAAGAAAATGAACCTCCAGCCTTTTGAATCTTCATTCAGCTTCATACACTTAATACAGTGAGCAACCTTTTTCCATCCTCTCTGAAGAACCGAACCCTTTCACCCGTGATCCTGCTCAGCGCGCCACTAACCAAAAACCCACCCCACAACAACGCAAAGAACATTTTATCAAATATTACACAACTCCTTTTCATGTATGTTTTATGTGTATTCTAACTAATAATCATGTTAATAAACAAAATCAATATTTTATCCAAACATAAAATGATTCTAACTTATAACTTAAATTATTAAATGAACTTAAATTGTACGACTATCTCTGATGGCAGCTACATTGTGGGTCTGTTTGCAGAAAGTTCACTGTCTGAAGTTTTGAGGACGCTATGCAGTTTAGTGGATCAAATAACACAGTGGATAGTAAATATACAGAGCAACTACATAGTGACGAGAGATTCTGGCCACAGACCTGAGGAACATTAAAGAACTCATCGAAAGGCGTCACTTTATTGATAATAATTTAGGAGAAATCTGTAAAATAACAGTTTTTCTCTGTAGAAATATTAATGAAACTTTCTGTAAATGTATTGTTTTTACACTTTATTTGAATTAGGATATTTTACTTTAATTTTAGGGTTTTGTTTGGCAGCTGCTGCTGACAGACATTTGAACGTTTGTTTATGATTCTTTTTTACAGTGTGTGTTGTGCAGACGGTGAGGACCACACTGTAGGTTACAGTTACAGGGTTGTTCTCTGCACCTTCCCGGAGGAATAACGAGGACATTTAATACACACCAACATTTTAAAAAATGCAAAATACATGAATAAATAAAAAGTCAAAGTACTTTGTGACTTATGTAAATTCTCTCTGCAACAGGAGAGTAACAGTCGTGGATGTAAACCAGCATCAATTCACATTTTTCTGGAGCTCTGTAGTTAAACCTGGCTATTGTCAACAGGGGATAACTGAACACTCAGTGGGAGTCATCCTCTGGGGAACATGACGATCCTTCCTGTAGCTGTTGAGGTAACAGCAGCAGAGGGAGGGACGTGTTCTGCACCTGTCCTGCCCCTCGGTAACTTCCCTCCTCCAGGATCCTCCGTCCACTTCCATTACCGTCCTCATCTTACAGCCTGGATCAGTTTCCTGAGCGGCTCAGCAGCCGGCAGAGTTCAGCTGCCGTCGTCCGCTCACACTGAGGCACGATGGTGAGATAATGAGCGAGCTGTGTGTGTGAAGCTTCGTGCTGTCGTCCATGTTTTCCACCTGCTGTGACCTGCTGTAACCTGCTGTCTGCCTCTCCCTCTCGCACCACAGGCTAAGTTCCTGACTCAGGATCAGATTAATGGTAAGACTCTCACACATGTCGCTGTGGTGACCTGCTGCTTCCAGGGAGTGTTAGTGGAGGAGGAACAGCCACTTCTCTGATGACTGATTCATCTCTTTAAGTGCAAGAGATTTTCTGGAGCCAGTTCAGTCGTTTAGAGATTACTCCTCTTCACAGACGAGCCCGGCTGGGGGCGGTGGGGCGGTGGGGGGGGGCAGCAGAGTTTCCCGCGGCCTCCTCACTACAAAGCAGCACTTGTTCTGCTCGGGCTCAGGAGATTCACGTAGCGACGTGTTGGCCGACGTCCCCGAACCGCTAATGTGATTAAACACAAAGCCTCACTATCTGAATGCACTTTTCAGGCTAATGAGGAGACGTTAAATTCACATTATTGTCTCTGTTGAAAGGACGGAGGAGTCCTCGTGGGGGTTTTGGGTTCGTTCCTGATGTCACGAACTGACAAAGGCGGAGGAAGAGCACACAAGCTTCAAAATCAAACAGTTAAAGTAATTTATTAAAGTAACTTTATTATTATTATAATTCACATAACTAAACCAAACCAGGACGCGTTGAATCAGTGAAAGGGGATGTTGTTGAAGGAGAGAGGGAGACTGACTGCCCAGGTGAACTCCTCCTGGCTGACGACCTCCACTCTGATTGGTTGCTTCGTGAAAAGGAAGAAGGAGAAAAAGGGCAAATAAACGGGCCGGGCCTTAAATGTCTTTGTGTTCAAGGTCTGGCAATCCGTCAGGGACTGTGTCAGTTTTCTGGCATTAAAGTCTGCAGCTAATGAACATTGTCACTGTTGATTGATCTGATGATCATCATTTAGATGAATGTACTTTTGTTTTGCTACAAGTCTGAAAAATAGTGAAAAATATAAAGTGACGTCTTGTTTTGTGCGATCAACCCGAACATATTTCATTTGCAGAGCGCCGCACGTTTGTTTGTTTCAGCAACAGGACAATTCACGCAGCTTTACATATAGACGTATTACACAATTGTATAACACAATAAGTAATAAACCCCACAGCTGTCTTGTGTAAGATTAAAGACAATAAAATAATAAAGTGACCTATAGGCTTGTTTGGTGGAGTCAGTGCTTCACCCTGAAGATCTCCACCAGGTAAACAGACTGAGCATAGTGAGGTAATGAGAGAAGAAGCTCCTCTTTGAACCTTCATGACTCAGACTGGATGTGCTGCTCTTTACTTTTCTTTGCTGAGCTAAACAAATCTGATTATGAGTGTGTGTGTGTGTGTGTGTGTGTGTGTGTGTGTGTGTGTGTGTGTGTGTTGTTGTTGTTGTTGTTGTTGCAGAGTTTAAGGAGTGTTTCTCTCTGTACGACCGTCAGAGGAAAGGGAAGATCGAAGCCCGGGAGCTGATAACAGTGATGCGATGCCTCGGGTCAAACCCCACCCCCTCCGAGGTCCAACGACACCTGCTGAGCCACAACACAGGTACACCTGTCCACCTGTCTGACTGTCAGCGACCCCTCACCCTGCTGGTCTGACCACCAGTTTGATGTAGTACAACTCAACTCTAAATACTTAACACTCAGCTGCTGTTGCTATGGAGATGGAGCCAGTCAGAGGTAGTGAATTCAAAACGCTTCGTTATTGCAGTTGGGAACAAATCACGTCACCATGGTTACCGAATTCATCCAAAACTGACCGAAAATTTTCAACTGATTTAAACTGCAGATTGTGAACTTCATGTGTTCTTAAAGGGTCCCATGTTTTAATTGTGTAGTGTGATTATAGATCAGGTCTAGCTTCTATATTAATACTGTGAAAGTATCAAAGCCTCAGTCCACAGAGAAATGCACACAGCCTGTATTCAGAAACTGAGCCTTAAAACCAGCCGTCAGGACTTCTGGAACTTTGTGATGTCACAACAAAGCAGTCACCAAGCCCCGCCCACCTGGACCCACCATCCAAACCTTGCAGGATTTGGTTTCTCTGAGTGTTTTTACCTGAAATCTGCTGTATTTTTATTGGATCAGTCAGAAAACAAGTCAGCCAATCAGAAGAGAGGCTCAGAGCCTCCTCTCTTCTGATTGGCTCACAGACCTGTTGTTACTAGAGCTGCAGAGAGAAGCCTGAGAGAGGAGATGTAAAACTACACTGAGATGGTTTTTATATCTTCTGATGGATCAACACTTCAAATAAAACACAGAAGAAGAAAATATGAAGCTTTAAATGATTAATCGGAAGATTTCTATCTATTGACCGACTGATGACAAATAACTTAAGGCTCATATACGAACATGAGGAGGAGAAGGCATCAACATGCCGTCCTTACTTCTGTATTACAGCACATTTCATCACCTCACAACATTACACAACCTGAAACAAAGGCTTCCTGTGGGTCACTGCGTAACAAAACAGAATTACAAATAAAGCCAATGATAATCAAACCTCGCAGCACGACGCCTGGAGACGACACACACTGAAAACTGACCGCTGCTGTTTTCATGTTGTCCTCCTCAGACGCCTGATTACAGCTCGTCTGTGATCTTATTTCAGCTCCTCTCCATCATCATCATCATCATCACACGCTGTCATCATCCATCCTCATTGTAGATCACAGGAATACTCAGTCTGAAATAACAGAGCTGAGAAGCAAACCTGTCTCTAACTGTAGACTGGTGGTTTAAAGATTTCATGTCTATTATATGGAAAACACCTCAAACACACACACACACACACACACACACACACACACACACAGATTCATTTTTAAATTTCCTTAAAAAAGGCTTTTAATCAGACAAAATGGAGCATTTGTCAGGGACTATTTTCAGCAGCGGATTAATCCACATTTAGTGTTGTCGTTAATATTTTTGGCAGCAGGACGGTGTGTGTGGGACTGAGTCACAATAAACTACCGTGTGTGTTGGTGGTGATGAAGGAACATGTCACCCAGTGACACAGTGTGACTCACTGATGCTTTTCATGGGATTCAGAGGAATCAGACACATCAGGCTCTGAAATACAAAAAAAATCAAAAACAATCACAGGATTATATCAATGACAAATATTAGGTAAAAATAAAGTATATATATTAAAGATCAAAATAAACATGAAAAATGAAATGGCAAAGTTTCTAGCCTGGGCAAAAGTGGAAGATCAAGATCCAACGCAAATACAGAGCCGGAAAATGTGAAGTAATCATGAACCACAGTGCTCCTCAGGGGACCATGAACATCTGTACTAATTTAACCAACAGATGTTGAGATGTTGCCCAGGAGACCAAAGTGATAAAGACAATGTATACAGAATTTACCAGACTACAACACTACAAAACACTCGGTGTTACTGCAACAACAAAACCTTCAACTAGAAACGAATAAAGAGGACGACAGAGCTGAGGGTCCGTTAAATTAACATTATTGTGAAGGCCTTGCTACGTTCTCATGCTAGCTATCCAACCAGCTAAACAGCCCCAAAAAACTCCACGACAAAGTTGCTGACTTTTATGAAGTTCACTGAGGGATCTTTGTGAAACTGCAAATAATACAGAAACAGGCTCATTAATATTTAACACTAATAATGAATAAGACAGTTTACAGTTCACATCTTAAACAAAACACACACAGCATTAGCATAGCTATGCGGTGCTAGCATAGTGTCGCCTACAATAACATAAATAGAGACAGAGCATTAGCTTAGCTCATAGCTGCATGCCGCTCAAATGAACAAAAACAGTACTTTAATATTCACACTGGCACATAACAACATAGTGGTTAGGTCACATAGATACCTACAGACACATATAAAAAAGAATTAAGTCCAAATACAAAGCCACGGGTGGCGACACGGGTAGACTCCACCTACTTCCTGTTAACAAAGGAAGTACAGGTAAGAGCAGACAAACAATACTCCAGAACACCACAAGATGGCACTACCACTTCATGAACAAGGTAAATGTCTTCATCAACAACACTGTAAAGGGCACAACAGTTATTTTAATTGTAAACTTTAACAAAATCAAGAGAGTCTGGAGGCCGGTTACAACAGAACAAAAGATCACAAAGAGGACCCAGAGCGCCCCCCCCCCCCCCAAACTAACAAACTAACAAAGTCGGAGGTCTGCTTCCTCTGAGAGAGAGAGAGAGAGAGAGAGAGAGTCGGAGGACGTGGTCTACGAAGGTCTGTCCGTTGTAGACCTTTGCGTCACCAGCTGTTCCCGCCCTCACTGCTTCGTCATTGTACCGTTAGCTGTTGAACTGAGCTTTTACAGTGTAATAAAGTGTAATGTAAATAAGTAAAGTGTAATGTACAGTGGCTCTCTGTTGGCATTTGCTTCCATTACCGGCGCACTGTGAATCTTGGGATAGGTTGGGGTCCGCCTGTTCGATCATTCACTGCCCAAGAAAAGAAGGACGCAATTTTGATGGAGCCTTCGAAATGAGACAGTCTAGTTGCGACGCTGTGAAATAATCAGGTTTCTAATGCCGCCTCTGAAGGACAAGGCTCCTGAATTGGGACACAGCTGTTGTCTGTTCCGACTGACTTTGTGTTCATGATGACCGACTTCAAAACACCTGGACGTCGACCTGAAACATTCTTCTTCCTGCCTCCTGAAAGTCTGATGAAGTTTCCTCTCGGCAGCAGCGTTGACTCATTTTATTTCTCTCTAAGGTTTTAATATTTCTGTCTGTACACACCCGGGCCTCTGTGATGTTTGACTTTCTCTCGTGTTATCTTTGTATAAATTATATTTAAGTAAGTCTGAGGGGAAATTCTCTGTGTACCAGCTGTAATCAGCTGCTCACAGTTTCCACACGTACGGTTTATTTAACATGTGTAAACTGTCAGCAGCTTATCGAACAGCCCTGCTCTTTATGTTCTGTTTTATAGCTTTAGTGTTTGAACAACTTATTTCATATTCATTATGTGATGTTATACACTCCCCCTCCCCCTCCCTCAGTCTTCTAACTTCTCCCTCCGCAGTGACTTCATTTCTCCTGCAGATCAATTAAGTTTGGTTATCTCTTCTTCTGGTGACATTAGAGATGATTGGATCTGTCCGGTTAAAAGTAAACATGTTCCTGCAGATCGGGGCGGAGAGCTCGACTTCTCCACCTTCCTGAGCGTCATGCACCGGCAGCTCCAGCAGGAGGCGCCGGAGGAGGAGATCCTGGAGGCCATGAGGATGGCCGACAAGGAGCATAAGGGCTTCATCCTGGCCTCGGAGCTGAGAGCCAAACTCACCGGCCTGGGAGAGAAGCTGACCGACAGAGAGGGTGAGAGAGGAAACACGTCGTCTCATCGTCACGTGATCGTCTTTAATCTTCTGGTTTCCGGACAGTTTGTTGGACAACACAGTTTAAATATTATCTTTGTTCTATTCTTCTGCCTTTTTTCTGTTGCCTCATTTTAATCCTGTTAAGTTTAAGAGCTTTAAGACGTTTTGTATCCAAGTCTGGTGAAAGACAGAGAGGCTTCCATTGGAGGGGATTTTAATGTAGAAATAGTAGAAATAAAGATATGATATATATAGACTGAGTGGGTTCAGCCTAGTGTTCCCACTGTGTCTGATTAGACCTCCAATCAGACGGTCAGGTGTGGTGGAGAAATGTTGTGAGTACATGTCGTCACCAAACATCACAGATGATGAAGGTGTTACTTTCTGCACCAGACAGGTGTAACAAAACGAACACAGGTAAAAACACAGAGCGTCAGAGTCTGTGTCACTTTGTAAAAGGTCGTTAGAAGTTAATTTTTATGGTCAACCCACCAAAACAAGACGCTGCGTCGTCCATTATCCGTGATTCAGCTCATATTGAACAACAGCAGCAGTCAACAACTGTAACTTTACTATTAATTAATGACAAGATATTTTTATATGGGATCAGAGGCATCATCTATCTATCTATCGTGAACTGTGATTGACAGCTGTGTGTCTGCTTTCAGTGGACGAGCTGCTGAGGGAGGCGGGAGTCGGGGCCGATGGGCGGGTCCACTGCGAGCAGTTTGCTAAAGCAGTAACTCGCTGCTCTGCGAGGCGCTGACATCACCACCGACATCACTGCTGTGAAGACGTTCATTCTATGTTCTGTCAGTTTAATATTCAGTGTCAGGCCTCAGATTTCTACTGCATGTAAAGACATTTTAATTTTAGCTGTAGTTTATTTTTATTTTAAACGATATAAATAAAACAGGTGTGACAGGAGAGGAGGAGCTGTGCGTCTTTTTTTCAGCCTTTTATAAGCTAAGAAACTGAACAGCAAAATGTCGAGGAACAGATTAAACAACGTGTTTATTTGGTTTAACGTAAGATATGAAATTTAGCATGTCAGGCCGTTAGCAGCCTCAGTGACATGAGAGGGAGAGGAGGCAGAAACAGCAGCAGACCAATAAGATCACAGTCCTATCCAGTCTAAATGTTCATGTAGAACAACTGAGACATAAGGAGGTTAAACCATAAATGTTTTCATGTTGATGATCACGTTTCTGCTGTTTGGTTTGGGGAGGTTCTGATAGTTTGTCCTCGTTCTCTAAACCTTTTCATGTCCAGGTGAAACCAATTAGTGATATCAATCAATAAAGCATTAATTTAACCTCTGTGCTGTTTGTAGGAAGGTACCTGCCACCTACCAGTGGTCAGCAAGTGGCGACCTGCAGGCCGCCAGATTATTTTGATATGATTTTAAAAAACAAAAGAAAGAAGAAGATCTGAGCAGCAACAGTTTCACGTGGAATCACTTTCTCTTTAGTGATTTTGTCTAGAAAATAAAAGCGCAAGAAAGTCATTTTTTAAAATTATTTAAAGCTATTGTTAGCTTTTATTCTGAAAAGTTCTGACAGGAAGTTCCAAAGGTTCTGTTGCTTGCTTGACAAACCTCTGACGGCGCGACACGTAATGTGTGATGCGAAGGAAATAACAGTATCAGTGAATCAGTCAGTCAGACTTGTAATATGTGACTGTGGGAGGACAAGCTTCCAAACATCAGAGAAGCGTCAAAGCAGCGGAAAGATAGGAATCACAACTTCCTGTGAGGACTTTCAGAATAAAATCAGAGCAGAAACAGAATGCAGATGATGAGCAAGATCGTGGATTGTGATTCTAACCAAAAAGATGATCTCTTTTTTTTTTTTTTACCAGATCCTGCTTCATACTGTAAGTGCTATAAGTGATCTCCTCCTTGCAGCAGCAGCAATAACTGATAATAAATGAATGAATGAAATCATGTGTGAAGCTTTCACATCACCTGTGGTGGTTTTTGAAACAAGTGAGCTGGAGAAGGATTTTAAACGTTGGAAAACCTGCTAACGATGTTTATTTCCCCTCAGCGATCACCGAGCTGCTGCTGTCGACCTCTGGGAGACATCAAGGGCCCATTATTTCAAAATGACTAAAATTTAGCAATTAGCTTTAGCTGTTTGGCCGACACCACGACGGCTGATGAGATCTGCTGCTGGGACTTGTCATTTCAGGGCGTCTTGAAATGAAAACTCTGTGTGAAGTAAAGAGCCTGCTGTTTTAAAAATGACACAGGAGGCTGAGGAGCATAATTATGATAAAGTGCCAACCTGACGTTTGAGAACACAAAGCTCACAAACAGTCAATAAAAGGGGATATTTTTCTTATTGGAGATAATTATTTCACCACCTCAGGCCGGCTGCTGTTTCTAAGATGCAACATCCCTGCAAAGTTTCCTGAACCCGAGTCTTTACAAACATCTTCTCTTTCTGCATGACGACATATTTGCTCTGTGAGCTCAGTCTGGAACATTTTATGAAGGGGAAGATTATTTCAGTGTGAACCGTCCTGTCGTTTCCTGTTAGCTGAGCTTCACGCGTGGAAAACCCATCAGCCGGGGTTTTGACTCGGCTGCAGCGAGGCTACTAAACGCTGGATCCCTCCTCTGGTAATTCACAGCGACGTCTCTTATGGTCTTATGTAATCGTTCAAGGAGAACATGGATTTAGGAATACGCCGCTCTGTCAAATGTTTCTGCCCAGGTCCTGTGATGCTGTTTCTGAAGGACGTTCAGGTGGTAAAGCTTCACTCTGTTCAGGTCTACTCTGTCTTTGAGCCCCTGCCTGTACTCTGCTTTCATTATTATTCACAATGAATAACATACTTGTCAGGAGCCAGCTGAATAACTGTTACTGCTAACAGTCACCTCAGGGAATCACCAGCCTGTTGCCTTTGCCCCCGGCAACGCTGATTATCAGGCGCTTCACTCATAAACAGTTAATCCAGGCATCGCACGCAGCCAGCCTGGATGCTGCGTTTGTCTCACACTGAAGTTACTGAGGCGTCGTTTTATAAAATGATTTACTCACTGAGTCCGACAAATTCTGAGTTAAAACAATCGTAACACAACCGTCTTATGTTTCTATCTTTAAATACAACAAATTATTATCGACTAGAATCCTTTGCTGAAAGTCACTAAAGTTTTAAACCCAAAGATCAAGCGTGTCTTTATTGGCTGATGAAGCAAAAAACATTTTGAGTGACAGTCTAATTAATGTTGACAACCTTCAGCGCCGACCTGAAAATGAGCTGAGCAGCAGGAGATATCAAACGCTAATTACACAGCAAAGGTCCCTACTTACATTTACACCTCACACTTGCTGCAAATACTTGATTCAGAACCAGGTTGATGAGCTTTAAATATTTTGGCATCAGCGTGGTATCAGGTATTAATTAAAGGTACTGTATAAGAAATTTACATGTAATAATCTCTTTTATTTATTGCCTATGTTTGAACAGATTGTAACTTAACTTATAAGATTAGACCTTCCCTGACTTTCTCCGTCCAAATCCAAAGGATGTGACTTTTCAGAGGTCCTCGCCTCGACTATTTAACTCCCCTACAGAGGCCAACAGGGTGCAACACTAGCTATCGTTAGCTAGTCTGCTAACGTCAACAAACGTCCAGCTCCCAGCACACATCATCTGTTCTTTATCTCCAGCCTTATTCCCTCCTATCGTCTGTTTATAAGTGACGTCCAGTTTTTCTTTTTTATTCCTCTGTGGCGGCGACAGTCAGAGCCACAAACCTTATGTTCATCCGTCCATCCCATACTGGTGGAATTTGGGAACATTAATTTGGACTCAAGGATGAACTGATTAGATTTTGGTGGATAAAGGTCAAAGTTCAAGGTCACGGTGACCACACAAAACACAGTTTCGGCCTCTTCAATGTGATATCTCACGACCATCTTGAGGGAACTTCTTCAGATTTGGCACCAACATTCATTTGGACTCTAGGATGAACTGATTTTATTTTGGTGAACAAAGGTCACAGTCACGCTGATCATACGTTCTTGGTTAGGTAAACTGCGACTCCCAGGGTGCATTTCTTCAGAGAAACATCCAATCACATCATCAAAAGTGTAAAATGTTTGTCATATGCTCCCAGCAACAGATGAGAGCGAAAGATGACAAAAGGTGTTGAAAACTTGAAATCACCAGTTGACTTGTAAACTCTGGATCAGTTTGAACTGAATTCAGCAGGTTTGGTTTAATGTTTTTTTAACAACTGACACAACGAAGCATCTTGAATCAGCTCTGATTCACGCCTCTGACTTGCTCCTTCTCCATAGAGAGCGTCTGGGTGTTGAAGTATTTAGAGCCGTCCGCCTTAGACGAAGTTGAAGTAACTAAACATTGAGGGCACTGTTCGAAAAATTGTTTATCTTTAAAATAATGAGTGAGAGAAGTGGACAAACTCTGTTTGAGTCACTGTTGATTTCACTGGCAGATTTTATCAGCTACATTAACTTCACTTTAATGGCCATGTGAGTCAGTGGAAAGTTTCAGTATAACACGGAAGAAAAGTTGGAAAGACCAACTCTCTTCTACTGCTGTCACTTCAGAGTCAAGAGAGGAACCCATGCAGGTGATATGTCTCCCTCTCACTCTGTGAAATTACACCTGTTACCTGTATGTTTCCATCACACTCCACACCTCAGCTTCTCCTCCTGTGATGAGAAGCGTTAAAGTCTGAATCTCTCAGCCAAATTAATCTGCGAGCAGCTGGCTGCTGAAAACACCACCGAACGAAAGACGAACTTGAGTGCGAGACATTTGTTTTGGTGATAAATGAAATTGGCAATCTCCACATGTCACCTCGCCGTGACCGGGCGCCGGTGTTTGCGGATCACACAGACGGAGGAGCATCTCCACGGCGACACCGGGGACCCGTGTGAAGTCTTCATGCCACATCGAGAGTGTGAAAACGCATCAGGAGTCTGCTGTTGGACGGTGTGGGCTTGTTATAGCTGGAGACTGTTAACACGGTTGCTGCTCTGCCCACAGTGTTTTCACATCACATCATTACTCTCAGATGAAACGAGCACTCGGCCGGCGTGCCCACTGGCTCGGCAGTAATCACTGCTCCCCGATGTCGCACATGAAGTCATATTTTTCCTTGCTATGAGAAACCTTGTTAGACGGCTGAAATTATGAGACAGCACCCCGGAGGTCTGACTTGACGCAGGGTTTTCTTCATTTTTTCAGTTCCAGTCTCGAGTCCATGACCTGCGGTAACGACGCTGCACAAAACACCAGGGGGCGCCTGTCTGCAAATAAACAGCGACTGTGTTGATACAGCTGCAAGAGATAAACACTTCACCGAACACTCGTGATTGTGACTTTAATGACACAAATACTCTCAGTGCAATTACTCGAAAGGAGCATCGGCCACCCTCCGGCTTCCCGTACGCACTCAGAGAGATCTCCCTCTCATCGGTAGATAATGGCTTTATCCTCATTTTTAGTTTGTTTGTAACCCGACTAGTCACGAGGTAATCTTAATTACTGTAATTTAACTTATCAAACCCAACAATGAAGACAAACGTCTCATTATCTGGAGATAACAAGCAGTCCTTCCTCTGGGCGAGAGAGAGAGAGAGAGAGAGAGAGATTCATCCAGTTAGAGAACACAGAGAAAGTAATGAGAACATCTGACCCAGACATAATGCTTATGTTATGACCACCGTTCGTTATGTGGAGATAATGAGATGAGGCTGGTTAGACTGTAATCACGAGATAAGAGCCTGATGTGTTGAGACTAACGAGATGACAGATGTTATCTCGGATTTAAAACAAGAGTGCTTCATTACATCAAGATCTGGTGAGATAATATATATAATATAATGAGATACTGACATAAAAATAGTCGAAAAGAAAATACCACTTGGTTGTCTTAAGTAAATGGTAATTAACTCATTATGAAAATAGTGCTAGTGCATCTGATGAGATTAATCAACTGTAGATAATTAACTGACTATAAATAAAAGAGATGTGATGAGATGATCAAATTGGGATTAAAGTTATAATCTGTAGCTTTTCCACATCAAAACGTCTAAAAACAACTCGACCTGTGTTCTATATGTTGTTGAGTTGTGTTCTTACATTATCACAAATGTTTCCGTGTTTACGTTAGCGGCAGCTCAGCTCCACAGCCACTTCCTGTGTCCACTGAACCGTGTCAGAGAAACTATGATTTTTAACATAAAACTACTTCGTTCTGTGTTTTAACCAGATTTCATCACTGGGTTTTTATCTTCCTGTCTAAACAAAGTGAAGTTTAGCTCTTGCTGATTCACCCAGCTGACCTGTGGCTGCGGCGTAACACATGCACACGCACTGAAGGTGCGCTTGTGCATAGGAATAGTTCAGCGGTTGAGAAAAATGTAGAGGTAAAGAAAAGTGCTGGGACAGTAAGATAAATGCTGAAAATATTCTACATGAAGCGTACATTTAGATAATGGATTGTTTCATTGGGCGTCTTATAAAAGTGTCTAAAACAGGTGTTTTCTGCTGGCCCCGCCCACAGCAGGTCATCACCCTGCTAGTGTACCGGTCCTCCTGCTGCTCTAAACTGACTCTACTGCAGGAAACACACCGACTGTACATGACGACCTCACACAACCCCACGTCTAATGAACACAACTATCCCTTTAACTGGTTTTAAACAATGATCCCTCCCTGAATCAACTGAACCTTTACCATAACACTGCTGCATCGTGTGTGTGTGTGTGTGTGTGTGTGTGTGTGTGTGTGTCGGACCTTTGCATTAATGGAGGTTGTATTTTCACAGACCACTAGTTTCCTTGTTTCTTTGCAGCTTTATGTGATGAAAGATTGGTGGAGGCGCCTCTCAGGATCAAAGTCCACCTCAGTGTTTGTCAGTGGACTGTCTTTACATAACGTGAAGTACGTGCTGCTCTTTTTCTCCCTCTGTGTCTTTTTTAAATGAAACCCTTTGCAACGTTGCATTTTAGACGTGCTTTATTGAATGATGCATCTTCCCACTGCTCTGCTTTGGTGTTATCCACGTACTTAGCCCAGTCGTTTTATCTCATTAAGCTGAAATTACACCAGTAGAAGTAAATTAGAAATCCACTCCTGTCCTGACCTTGAGTCAAAGAGTCACTGGAGTTATTTTATCTTTTTCATTTCCTTTAGCAGATCTGGAGAAACGAGAAATTTGATTAAATTGTGTGTTTGTTTTTTTTTGTTCAGGAAGAAAATCATGAGCAGCCTCGGAAATGAGCCATTGCAGCCTGTTACTGCACATTTCCACCATTACAATGTGCTTATTTGTGCAAATTGTACTTTTCTCAGTAAAAACAACAAACAGAATAATGACCACTGCAGTCCAAATTAGTTTTACATCAAACTGAAAAGGCTGAAAGTAGCTGCAGCATTTCATGCACAGGTTCATTATCATCTAAAAACTCCAAAAACTAATTTCTTTTAGAACATGTGACTGTTCCTCTTTTGGTTTTTAGATATATTAATAACACTCATGTTATGAAAAGTTGTGTCATTAAAAAAAATTAAAAGGGAGAGTTTTTAAGCATGAACTTAATGAAGTATCTATTTTACAGCCTGGTACATTTCTACCATTCACTTTGATCTTGGAGGAAATTTGTTCTTATTTGTACAATTTCATTTATATTCAGTTACAAAAGGAAAATTATGACCCAATTAATCTAGACCCAATTAGTTTTATTTAGGTAAAACATCCCCAGAATGAACCCAATAAGTATCATCAGTAATAAGTTTTTAAAAACGATCATTATATACAAATACTTGACCCTGATTGGTTGATAACAGCAGCTCCTCTCGGTCAAACCAGGTCAGCCTACAGACTTTAAACGACGGTTCATGCTGGAGGCCAAATATGACTCTGAAATAACTGAAAATAACTTGACAGAGCAAACTACACATTTCTAACATGTGACTCTTCATTTGTTGATTAATCGATTAGTTGATTACCTGACAGAAAATTAATCGTCAACTATTTTAATAATCAGTGAATTGTTGAAATTGATTTTTCAAACATTCTCCAGCTTCAGGATTCACTACTTGATAGTTTGTTAAATATCTTTAAGTTTTTAACTGTTGAGATTAATTTGGGATTTATGACATAAAACAAATATTATTATATTATTTTTATGAAATTTTAGGGACCGAATGTTGAATCAAGAAAATAAACAGCAGCTTGTTAGTTTTCAACAATGTTCCTGATGATGTTTCCAATTATTGTACCTTAGTTAAAGTGTTTTTTTTTTTTAGCATGAATATAGATCATTTGTGACACTGGACCCTGATTGGTCGACCGTAGCCTCTAATTTTAAAAGCTAATTGGATGATTTCAGCTTCACTTTGTAGCCTCATTGAGCGTGGAGCTGGATCCAGTTTTTAAAAGCTATTTGTTTTGGAAAAAGCAGTCATTTTAAACTCAACCTCTCAAACTGAATCTGATCTTTAAACTGTTTAAAAAATTAAATTAAACATCTTTGATCTTGACACTAACATTTCCAGAAATAGGCTTCTTTAAGTGCTCAGCTGCCAGCAGAAATATGTCTCTTATACTTATAAAAATAAACATTTACCTTCATCTCTTCAAATGAAACTCCTTTTTAGGACCATCTTTGCAGCGGGGAGGGGTGGGGGGGGGGGGATCCTGCACCACTGGCATGTAAACACTCCACTTCACTTCCTACATTCCTGCCAGTAAATCTGATCCAGGACCAGACAGGCTGAACCCTGAGACCAGGTCTGCACACAAACCTCAAACAGCAGGGACACTCCAGTGCATGTCAACACAAATGAAATATTTTATTCTCCAAACATTGTTTTAAGGTTGCATTGGCAGTTATTTTGTTTTGTTTTTTTTACATTCACTTACTCAAGCTTGTACATTTTACACACCAGCCACAACAAACGTCAATAATACTCCACAGAATGATGTTTGAAGCAGCAGCAGCAGCTGAATCCTCCGGACTGTGGTTCTTCTGCTGGGAACATCAAGTCTGCACAGAGAGCACTTTAGAGAGCGAAGCAGCATTGGATGAGACACTGAGTCTGCGCTCGTTTATAGGAAAAAAAAAATCAGTTTTCCCAAAACCAAAAAACAAAAATTACCAACATTACTGTCATGTGAGATCCCAGTCCGACTCAGGTGAAGCAGAAACGCAGCTGGACGCTTTTGCGCAGCGCGCCTCAATGCGCATTTTTACGCACAGTTGTTATTTCTCCTCTTTTCATTTTCACGCCTTTAAAATGTGATAAAAATATATAAAATTCCTCTGAAGCAAAATGTAGAACATTTAATACGCCACGTTTAGATGGTTTATCCGGTGCTTGACTGACTTGGCACAGCTGCTCTCCAAAACAACGAGCTGAAATACGATCGTGTAGCTTCTTTAAAAGCTGAGACAAGAGGATGAAACTCCAGCGTCATGATTACTGAGAGAAAAGTCCAGAAAATCACCGACATTGTGGAGGAAGTTTGAGTCCGGTCATCGATCAGTTAAAGATTGTGTCTTTTTTTATTAAGGCTGGTTCACCGCTGCAGCGCGTCCGTGTCGCACTGGTCCGTCAACACGGACAGTCTGCAGTTCTCCGTCTCCACGTTGTTCAGCGGGATGACGATCTGTGTGTCGTCGGGCTCCGCTCTCACCGTCCCGGAGAACGGGCGCAGGTGGCAGGTGTTCGTCCCGGTGGGCGAGGAAATCCTCCAGAACAGATCCTTCATCTTCTTCCTGAACTCCCGGCGCATCAGGCAGTACAGCACCGGGTTCAGGCAGCTGTTGGTGTGCGCCAGGCACACGGTTACCGGGTGCACGTAGGTGTGCACCATGTAGTACGTCTTATCCCAGTTAACCACGTTGAATTTCACCAGCACGCCCCAGAAGGTGATGGCGTGGTTGGGCATCCAGCAGATGAAGAAGGAGAGGACGACGATGGTGACGGAGCGGGTCACCCGGGACCTGCGCTTCACCTGGTTGTTGTTCATGCTGCGCAGGCGGACGAAGCGCAGCAGCAGCAGGTAACACACGGTGACGATCAGCATGGGGAACACGAAGGCCACCAGGATCTTCTGGAGGTGGTAGAGCGCCAGCCACGACTGGCCGTCCGGGAAGCCCAGCAGGCACAGCCTCTCCCCGGCCACGCTCTTCACCGTGGAGAAGATCGCAGTGGGCAAAGAGGCCACCGTGGCCGAGACCCAGAGCCCGGCGATCACCCAGCGGACCGGGCACACCCGCCGCCGAGTCCGGTCCTTCAGCGCGGACGCCACCGACCAGTACCGGGTGACGCTCATGGCGGTGAGGAAGAACACGCTGGCGTACATGTTCATCACCGTCACTGAGAGTATGATCTTACACATGGCGTTTCCAAACGGCCAGCTGAAGTCCAGAGCCGTGTCCACGGCCCAGAACGGCAGGGTCAGCACGAACTGGAAGTCCGTGACGGCCAGGTTGAGGATAAACAGGTTGATGCTGGAGCGTTTCTTCCTGCCCCGGCGCACTTTCATCAGGAAGAACACCAGCAGGTTCCCGACCAGCCCTGCGGCGCACACCACCGAGTACACGATGGAGATGAGGATGCGCAGGGTCGGGGAGCCGTCCGCCGGCACGTCGATGTCATCCAGGCTGCTGAACCTGTTCTGTCCGGCGGCGGACCGGTTCCAGGAGGACGTGGTGTTGTGGCTCCACAGCTCCGCCATCCTCAAACCTCAGACCCGACCCGAGTCCCTCATTGGCGCATCACCCCCTGCGCTCCCGGAGAAGAGAGGCTTCCGGCGCGGTCAGATGGAGCGCGCAGTCCCCGCAGCTCATGTCCGCCCCCCCCCCCGCCGTGGGTTATATCTTGTGCCCTCACCGGGTGGCTCTGAACGGGACCCGGAGCTAGTCTCACTGCCGCTGCTCACTGGTTCACTGCTAAGCACCGTGCGCGCGCTGCTCACTTTATGCGCTGCTCGTGCCCGAGGAGGCGCGTGCCCGACAGAAGACTGGCGTGTCATTTCAGGAGGAAACTACAGCAGAGGACAAGAACCGACTGACAGAGGACAGGGCTGCTTGCAGGGATTTAAAGGCCCCAGGAGCACTTCATGCCCCCCACCCCCACCCCTAAACCTACACCTTCTCCTCCATGTCATATAAAACCTTTGTCACACATCACCTGCTCAGAAAAGTAAGAAACACCTGTAAATTAAAAAAAAAAGGCTTAAAATGACTTAAAAAGCAGCATAAAGATATTTTAATTTCACAGCTGGGATTAACAAGGATTAATATTCAAACATTATTGACATAAACACGTCCTCAGAAAATATTAATAACTTTTTTATTACATTAGTTATTGGATTGTTTTAATAAAAACTGCATATTAACTTTTGAATAATAAAAAATTAATTGTCTCAGTTTTTAATTCTTGTTTTTGTTGCTGCAGCCTGTGACCGTGACATTTTTATAATTGGTACCGTTCAGTCTCACACCGATGTTTTAACTGAACAGTAACGACAGTGTGAGAGAGTTTACTCCTTTTTTTCTTTTTAAAGAAAGGCTCATTTCAATCAGTTTTGGTCATGGTGTAACAGTGTTTTAATGTCTTTTTAAATATCAAACTTTTTATCTTCAAGCTATGAAATGAGCTGCCATCCATCATCCATCCATCCATCCATCATCCATCCATCGTTCTACTGATTCAAACATTTTATTTGGCACAAGATATGCAAATATCAAAAACTCCTCCTACCTGAACAAACACAGGTAATTTTTTTCAACCTTCTGATGCGACCCACAGGAGTGTCTCCTGAAATAGCGCCCCATATGGCGGGAGGCGTACTGGACCTTGGTTGTCATGGTTACAATAACAAACACGCGAACCGTACCTTCGGCGCCATGGTTGGGCACAGCTTGGTTAGGTTTAGGAAAAGACGGTGATTTGGTTTAAAATAAGTACTTCTTCAACACCAGACAATCTCTGTTGTCATGGTTACAACATAAACAGCTGTTTTCACGTGGGAATCGAACACACCGCTCTCCTGTGTCACGTTCACCCATCCACCACCTCCTCTTCCTGACGTGGACTCTGTCTCTTTTTATACTGCGTCACCGACACTTCTACCTTCGTTCCTGTCATCATCACTACGGCCACTAGATGTCGCCTAGCAACAAAACCTAACTATGATATCATAATAACCTGCTGCACAGACCTGTGGGGTCGTTCTTTACAGGACAGTTTTCCCACACGAAAGGCACAAACAATTAGATCAGTTAGTTTTCTTGTGAACACAAATGATAGAAAACAGAAACACATATATTGAAAATAAACAATTTAATCACTTATTTTTCCACACCAAATCAAATTAACATAACACAAGGGCTTCATGTAGCAGATGATAATTAACAATATTTAATCAGGCAGCAGAAGGGACAGAAAATAAGTGATTTGAGTCACTGCTCGGCATTCAGCAGCCTCGTACATTAACAGTATTGGCTCAGGAAGTGAGTAAGTGGATTACTTACCTGATGCAGGTTCAGTGAGTTAATGAAGCCACACAGACGACGGTCCAGCAGCCAGATGGCCCCCGGCAGCATTTTTCCCATCATCCTCTTCTGTGGTGCCAGCAGGCTTCTCTGATCTCGTCCAGTTTTAACTCTTCAGGGAAAAGTGTCCTGTAGGTCCCAGAGAGAGGAACATGTCAGAGTTTAACAGCATGTTTTAATGTTTTTATTTCAATTGAAAGGATTTTAAAGTAGCTTCATAATTACACAGGTTGAACCACTCGATCCATTAAGCCACTTGATAAAGCTCTGAACTGGTATTTAGTACAAAAGTGTAATGATACGTGACCTCAGCTGAACTTGAATTTAAGATCTCACAGTTACATGAACACACAGCTTCAACCATTAAAAGGAAATTCTGGTCAAATAAAAATACAATCTATTTTCCATAAACGTGGTCATTGTGATTGTACAGCTCATGGTGACTTTGCACTCTTCACCTCTGGAGTAGAGAAACAAGGATTCACCTAAAACAACATGTTTTGGTGTAGGCTGTCTGAACAACGAGCAGATTTATTTTTGCAGGCTCTGTGTGTAACACAATATCAGTACAGCAACTTCTCATGACCTGAGGCCTGCACTTCGAAGCAAGTTCAACATACCCAGGATAAATTTGTGTTTTCTGGCTTGACTGAACCTAACATTGACCGTCCTGATATCCTGTACTACGAAGCTGGTTATCAACTGGCTCAGTTAACCCTGGGTTTACCTGTCCACGCACGAGTACGTTCACGTGAAAGAGGCAGAGTTTTTGATTATAAGCAACATCGTCTGAACCATGAATGAAGTTCTTAAAATGATATGAGAAGAAAAATGCTGACACTTGCGGGTAAATTCAGTTATAACCGTTTCTGCTGCAGACAGGAGAGAAAGAAAAGAGGAGTAGTTGATGTCTCATGAGTCAGACTGACTGAAATGTTTAAAAGTTATAAATCAGATTTATGATCATGGGAAATATTCAACAGGTGGATCATTGTTCCAATCCAAGACATCAGAGGTTTAGTTTTTATTTCAGTTTCCTCATGTTATTCTGAGCTGATGGAAGAAGAGTCAATCCATCAGACGTTATCGGCTCTGCTCTCAGTACTGAAGAAATTGGGAAAATAGATTTCCTATTTGTTATTGCAACATATGCTCAGATATCTTTAACTTACATCGTGTATAACCAGAATAACTACATAGACACAATGCAAGACACACTTTATGTTTTGAAATCTGTTTTTTTATTTCCTGTTTCTTTTCCAAAGTCAATGAGTAATCGTGCTGAATAACCGTGTTTGATCAAAAATAATCATGATAATGATTTTTGCCATAATGGAGCAGCCCTAGTCTGAAGGCAACAACTCAGTGCAGCTTGTACCACATTATACTTTCTCTCTTACATCAAGTGTTATACAAATATGAGCATACATGAAAATATGCAGTCTTTATAAAACTAAAAATAAACTATGAATACAAATCAAATTTACGTATTAAAATAACAAAAGGGGGAGCTCACATACCTGTGTTTCACACAATAATATCAGTACAGCACCTTCTAATGACCAGGTTTCTACCTTTACAAAGGAGACAGCGAGAGAGCGGCGGACCGTGAGAAACCGGCGCGAGCGCCATTAGCCTAGCTTGAGATCGGGAAACTAGCATGCTACAAAAAAATGCTATACATGATAAAATTACAGAAACACGCTTAAACAACCACTACAACAACAAGGAACGGCGTATGTGGACTGTACAAAGCGGAATTCACGTCTGTTTTTTAGCTCGTTTACCACGTTTTCACACGGTATTAACAGGAGCACTCGTTTGGTCTTACCTCTTCTCAGCGTAGCCTAACGGCGACTGAGGGAAACGGTGCGAATCTACAGGAAGTGACGCAGCCAAAATGTCGAAAGTCAATTACAATTAACAAAATAAAAGCCCCCCCCCAATAAAATATATATATATACACGAAAAGAAATATATACAAGGGAAATTACATGTTCTGCACAGAAACGGATTTTTGGTTAAATATAAATCTATTACATAAATACATTAATTGAAATATTTACCTTAAAAACACTTAAATAATATCTAAACTAATATTTAGTAGGTGAGTGTAATGAAATACATTGCTGCTTTTCTTGATTAGTGTAAATGCGGGATTTTGGTTTTCAGTGGACAATCAGTATTGGTCTCTGGTGCTCCCACGAGCGTCATTACTCCGCGACCGTTGGAACAAGAGACGTGTCGTTTGTTTCTCCTTAAACTAGAGAATCGGCGCTTTCTAACAAGCCCTCGTTCGTCCGTATCTTCGATCGATACACTAACATTAAAAGTTATTAAAAAAAAATAGAGTCGTTTTACCGTTTGTGGGGCGCGTTGACCTTTCTCTCTGTGTGTTTATCGATCGATTCTCATCCGCATTCTTTGCCAGTGACGTCTGCAGTCACGTTTCTCAATTCGACATTCCTATTGGCTCCAGTGGGTGCTGTCACAGCCAATCAGAGTGTCTGATTCAGAGGCTTGGCCTGCCTTGACTGTGTACCCAGACTAGATGGGAAGTTTGAGTAGTTCTGAGTTTGTTGAAGAGACAGAATAAAGACAGAAGGATGAGGATGAAACTTTTTAAAAATGACAACTTTAGTAGGAAAAACACAAAGGTATGAAAAAACGAAAAAGTCTAATTGTGGGCTTAAGCTGCATTAAAAAATATTTTTTGGGCCACTTGGGGGCACCAGAACAAGCTTTAAGTTCCTCTCCAGACATGTTTTAAACTCTGTAAAAATCCTCTGCTATGATTAATATTTAGTTTTCATGGTTTTCACACATACAAACTGGGTCTGAAGCTCATCTCCTCTTCCTTCCTCATTGAGAAATCTGGATCAGGCCTTGAGCCATGACGTTAGACGACGTGGATGTTAACAAGGTTAAACACTTGATTTTCATTGGAGGGGATCTTTAAAACACAACACTGACATATTATTACCATAAAAAGTTAAAGGAGTAAAAGTTCATAACCAAGAAAAGTTTTCTCGCCTTCCCAGGTTTTATATGTGACAAACTAAATGCCAGTAATTGAAATGGAAGCACTGCAGCCTCAGACAGTGTTAGAAACTCACTGAGATCTGAAAAAAGTTGCAACTCTGTGGGTGGAGAGTCACTGACTCGTGTTTTGCTCTCTTCAGTGCTACAGACCTGACTCAGCTGCCGCTGATACACATGTCGAACTATGAGAACGCTGAAG